GATTAAAAGAGCAATCTGATTGAAAAAAAAGTACCTATACTTGTGTGCAAGGAAATATTTTTGAACACTAATGATCTTAACTCTTATTTTCCTAGTGTGTTATGTCTATTTTATAGGATTTCGAAGAAATGTTTCTTGAATAGCTTGAGCATGGATTGCCACCGATTCATGGGATAGAACACCAAATTGATTTCATTCCCGGGGTGCAAATTCCTAATCGACCAACTTATGGAAGTAGTTCGGAGGAGAAAAAAGAGCCACAAAGACAAGTAGAGGAATTGATGGCCAAAGGATATGTGTGTGAGAGTATGAGCTCATGCCCTATTCGAGTTTTGCTTATGCTTAAGAAGGATAAGACTTGGAAGATGTGTGTTGATTATCGTGCAATTAACAAGATAACGATAAAGTATAGATATCCAATTCCTAGGTTAGATGATATGCTTGATGAGTTGCATGATGCTTGTGTGTTTTCTAAAATTAATTTAAAATCTAGTTATCATCAAATACGAATGTGTGATGGTGATGAGTGGAAGACGACCTTTAAAACAAAACATAGTCTATATGAGTGGTTAGTTATATCATTTGGCCTTACTAATGCATCTAGTACATTTATGCGTCTTATGAACCATGTCTTGCATCGGCTTTTAAGCAAATTTATCATAGTCTACTTCGATGATATTATGATCTATAGTTTAGAAAAGAATGTTAATCATTTAAAATAAGTTCTAAGTGTTTTGCGTAAAGAAAAATTAGTTTCGAACCTCAAGAAGTGTGACTTTTGCATGGATAAACTTGTGTTTCTTGGTTTTATAGTTAATGCAAGAGGCATTAAGGTTGATGAAGCAAAGGTAAAGGCAATCAAGGATTGGCCTACACCTAAGTTAGTTAGCGATGTGAAAAGCTTTTAAGGTTTGGTAAGTTTCTATCAACGATTCGTCAAAGATTTTAGTACCATCATGACACCACTAACTGAAGTTGTTAAGAAGAGTGTGGGGTTCAAATAGGAAGATAAGCATGAAAAAGCATTTGCTTTAATTAAAAAAAAAGTTAATTTCTCGCTACTTTACTTGCATTACTTGATTTCACTAAAACTTTTGAATTTGAATGTGATGCATCGTACTGTTAGCATTGGTTTGGTTTTAATGCAAGAAAAGAAGCCTTTAGTATATTTCAATAAAAAATTAAGTGAGATTGCCCTAAATTACCTTGCGTATGGAAAAGAGCTCTATACCTTGGTGCGAGCATTAGAGACATGGCAACACTACCTTTAGCCTAAAAAGTTTGTCATACATGCTGATCATGAGTCATTAAAGCATTTGAAGGGACAAGGGAAACCGAATCATAGACATACGAGATGGGTAGAATTTATTGAGACATTCACGTACGTCATTCCGTATAAACAAGGCAAGAAAAACGTGGTAGCTAATGTATTATCACTTAGGTATTCGTAATCCGTACACTTAGTTCAAAATTACTTAGATTTAAATATATTAAGGATTATGCAAATAATCTAGATGTTTCTAATTTTTTTAATGCATGTGAGAATACTACTTTTGGAAAGTTTTATAGGCATAAAGGTTATTTATTTCATGAAAATAGGTTATGTATGCCTATGGCTCTCTAAGAGAGTTAGTTGTACATGAGGCACATGGGGGAGGCTTACTGAGGCATTTTGGTGTTTAAAAAATTTAACTATTCTAATCGAACACTTTTTTGGCCTCACATGAAAAGGGATGTAGAGAGGGTTTGTGAGAAGTGTGTGATCCGTCGTGCAAGCTAAATCTAAGCTTATACAAACTATTACCTATTCCCAGTTCACTTTGGGTTGATGTTTCCATAGATTTTATGTTGGAACTACCATAGACTAGGAAAAGGAGGGATTTCATTTTTGTTATTGTTGACGGGTTTTCAAAGATGGCACACTTCATTGCTTGTCATAAGATGGATGATGCCAACAACATTACAAACTTGTTCTTTCGAGAGATAGTACATTTGCATAAAATGCCAAAGAGTATCATTTTTTATCGTGATACCAAGTTCGTAAGCTAGTTTTGGAAGAATTTATGGGGTAAGTTGGGAACTAAGTTATTGTTTTCTACTAGTTGTCATCCATAAACTGATGGCCAAACCAAGGTAGTGAATCGAACTCTTTCTTCTTTATTACGTGCTATTCGAAGAAAAAAACATTAAGAATTGGGAAGAGTGTTTGTCACATATTGAATTTGCATATAATAGGACTATGCATACCACTACTTGGTTATTCACCATTTGAGATAGTTTATGGTTTTATTCCTATAACTCCATTAGATTTGATGTCTTTTCCTATTGATAAGTATTCTAGCTTAGATGGTGAGAAGAAAGCAAAATTGGTAAAGTCCTTGCATGAGAAGGTGCGGCAACACATTGAAAAGAAGAATGAGTAGTATGCAACAAATGCCAATAAGGGGAGAAAGAAAGTTATCTTTGAACTAGGTGATTGGGTTTGGGTGCATATGCGTAAAAAGCATTTTCTAGCTCGGCGACATACTAAGTTATTACCACATGGAGATGGCTCTTTTCAAGTGGTTACAAGAGTCAATGACAATGCTTATAAGCTTGATTCGGGAGGTGGGTATGGAATTAGTGCTACTTTCAATATTTTTCATCTCTCTCTTTTTGATGTAGATGTTGATGAAGAAGATTCGAGGATGAATCCTTTTAAAAAGGGAGGGAATGATGGAAACCATGGAGTTAAATGGACTAGCAAGGTGGTGCCTCTAAAAGAGGTCTAAGATGACGAGTTTACAAGTCCAAGATTTAATCCATTACACATTAAAGATGGTACAATGATGTGGGCTACGGCTAAAAAGCTTAAAGAAGCTCTTCATGGGTTGATTCAAGAGTGTTGGGTAGAATGCACTTTCAAGGGCCCATGAGAGTAATGTGGTGCCATTTTAAGAGAGGAAGGGATCTAAGACTTGTCAATCCGATCCAAGTTCAAGATTGGACTCCTTAAATCATATTAGGCCTATTTTGGTATATCTAGCTTAATTATGATTAAAACTAATTAATTAAGTTAGATTTGGACCGTATGTTTTAAGCCCTATTATTTGCATATGTTTTTAAGAACATTAGGATTTGTTTCTATTCTCCTTAAGTGGCAAGGACAAGTACGAGTCCTTTTAGGGTTAGGAGTGACGTGTTAGCCTATTTAAAGGTCTGGTTTAGTTGTATTTCGGACTTACACAATAATTTTGAGATTTAATAAATTTGAGAAGATTTTCTTCCTTTGTTATTTTGAGAACTAAATCTGACTTATCAATGATTGCAATCTTTATGGAATTTCGAACTTATCATCCTCTATAGGATATGGCCCTCTTCACTCCATTGTAACATAACTTTGGTTCGTGCCTCCTTATAGGCAATGAATCAGCTTTCGGTTATTATAACATGATTGGTGCATTCTTGGGGTTGTTTAGCGATAAAGGTGTTTAGGTCTCTTGTCTTTATATGTGGGGTTCACATCAATACCGCTTATGACTATGGTTATGTCAAAGAAAGCGTAATTTAAGGTGGAAGATTATTTACCTTCGGAGTGCGTTTCTTGACTATTAGAGAGGATAAGACTCATATATAGGATGGCTAATGTAGGTCCCTACTTGATTGTTGGCAAATGCTCTCCTCGGAAGATCGGTCCTACTTTAGAAAGCGAGTATAGAGATATAACCTAGTTGCTTAAGGTTAGGACACGGATGTCGTGCTTCCAAGCCATGTTGTCTTGCTAGGATCTTGAATATCAATATTTTATTTTTGAGAGTGTAGAGTTTACCTTACCCCGGAGGAGTACGAGGCCTTACTAGCGTCCTTGAAGTTAAGAGCAAACCCTTGCCAACTATGGATGGTTAGTTGAACTAAATTCCAAGACCAATTCTAAGCGAGGCAACCACGTAGGGTCGAGCCAAAGTTGGTTTTTGAGTACACTTCAGCTAGTTTTCAAGAGATGTCCGGACGATCGAGACAATATAGTTCGGTTAAGGATTTTGGCCCTAGGAATATATAGTTTGATATTATTTCTATCAATAAAGGGTATGAATGATTACAAAATAGTAAATATCTTCAAAAGTGTGGTTTCATTTAAAGTTAACCCCACGATGACAATATTGTCTAAGACTCTCTCATTAGTCAATTTTGCCTAAAAAAAGGAAATGAGTATTTTAGATGTTGTGTTCAATTGTTATTAATTTGTTTGCACAATGAGTCATTAAAAAAACAAAAAAAAAAAAAAAAAAACAAAGCTTTTTTTTTTTATAAATAAGATTAAAAGCATCTTATTTTGAGGGGAAAAAATTAAATGCCTTATTACATGATAATCCCAATCACTAATTTGAATTCAATCTTTTGCAATTCAAAAAATATAACATGTCATATTCTAAGGTAATGACTAGATCTTAATTCCATATGTAGTTCAAAATTATACAAAGACATATAACCACGTAGATTTGACTCAGATCATTATCAAAATAATTAATATGAAATCAAAGTTTGATGAGGTTTTAATCTCCCACGTTAATTATTTATCACTTTTAAAAGTCCACCTCATACTTTGATTGAGCAAGATTAATCCAAGCCTACATTTTGGATAAAATTAGTCATTATAATTCCATATTTAGTTCAAAATTAGATAAAGACATATAACCACGTAGGTTTGACTCAGATCATTATCATAATAATAAATATGAAGTCAAACTTTGATAAGGTTTTAATCTCCCACGTTAATTATTTATCACTTTTAGAAATCCACCTCATATTTTGATTGAGCAAGATTAATCCAAGCCTACATTTTGGATAAAATTAGTTGTTATAAATTTTAATTAGGAGGACTTTAAAGTGTGGTATATTTTACTAAAGGACCTTTTTATGCTTCTTATAAAGACCTCTCCTCCTTAGACCTAACCTTGCAACAATCACCTTCTTTTTTGTGTGTCTAGCTAGCTAGTTAAGTTTCTCTCAATCTTTAAAAAATGACAGTCATTGTTGAGAATCCGGCTAATGTAGAACTATTTGGTACCATCTTTTTCTTGTCTCCTTAATTTCTATTTATCTTCTTCTTCTTTTTTCTCCTTCAATCATTTAGGGACTAGAAATATTGCTTCTTTTCAATTATATTCTTACTCTCTCTTCTTTTCTTTTCTTTTTTCCTATATAAGTAGACTTGCAAGAAGAAGGAAAGGAGAAAATTCATGTCGATACGGATGAGTTGGTGTCTGAAGGTGGATTCACAATGCCAGACAATAACGCATTTGGGCAATCATTTAGGTGAAAATATTTCTTAATGTTTCAATTTGTCAAAGATTTTTTTTTTTTTTGATCTTATTTCTAAAGGGCATAACTCATTGAATAATGCAAAATGGTGATTGTAGGGACTATGATAATGCAGAAAACGAAAGGCATGAGATTGTTGAACAAACTTACAGGCTGCAGCATAGTAACCAAACATATGATTTTGTAAGAAAATATTGATATAAACCATATCTTTAAACACTTAAAATTTATATACATGGTATAAATTGTTGAACTTGGAATGGAAATTCATTCAGGTCAAGAGGATGAGGGAAAAATATGGTAAACTGGACAAGGCAGAAATGAGCATATGGGAATGCTGTGAACTACTCAATGATGTTGTGGATGATAGTGATCCAGACTTGGATGAGCCACAAATCATGCACTTGCTGCAGTCGGCTGAAGCAATCAGAAAAGACTATCCCAATGAAGATTGGTTGCACTTGACTGCACTCATTCATGGTATATTGTAAATCCTTAAAAAAAAATTACATGATTTTTTTCTAATGCTAAATTTTAGTAAATAACCTATATATATAATATTACTATATTTGCATGGGACAGATCTTGGAAAAATTCTCTTACTGCCTCAATTCGGAGGGTTACCTCAATGGGCTGTTGTAGGTATAAGCAACTTGTTAATTGCTTTTAAATAAGGGTGTCTTTTTTTTTATCCTTCCAAGTTTTTTTGATTGATGATTTTTTTATATTTGATTTATAGGTGATATATTTCCTGTTGGTTGTGCTTTTGATGAATCCAACATCCACTACCAGGTATTAATTTTATGCCATATGCTCCTTTTGATTAATTTTAATTAATATATATATATAAACAAGGATCAAATTTCTAATAATAATTATCTATATGTACGGCAGCATTTCAAAGAGAATCCAGATTATAACAATCCAAAATATAGCACTAAGAATGGAGTTTACTCCGAAGGATGTGGACTAAATAATGTACTTATGTCATTTGGACATGATGACTACATGTACTTGGTAAATATTCTTCCACAACTTTTTTTTTTTTTGACATATATATATATATATATATATATATATATATATATATATATATTATGGCAATTCAAAGGTTTTATCAAAATTTCTAAGTATATTTATAAGACCAAAATACAAATAAAAAAATAATACTAATTGTGTTGTAGGTTGCAAAGGAAAATAACACAACGTTGCCTTCTGCTGGTTTATTTGTTATCCGCTACCACTCGTTTTATCGTGAGAATTAAGATCGAAAATTCTATTTATTGTTATGAAATTTAAAGATTTATAATTAGTTTCATCGATATGGTGATTTATTATTATTTATTATTTCGTAGCATTACACAAGTGTGGAGCATACAAACATCTAATGAATGAGGAAGATATGGAGAACCTGAAATGGCTTAAGATATTCAAGTAAGATCGATGATGACCTCTTCTCCTTTCTTATTATGATTAATTTTTATTCTTTTTCTCATTACTTTTTTCTTGTTTAATTATGTTCTTAGTCATTGCCATCACTAATTGAGTTTATTTTGTGTACAATTGTACAGCAAATATGATCTCTACAGCAAGAGCAAGGTCCCAATTAATATTGAAGAAGTAAAGCCCTATTATCTTTCTCTCATTGAGAAGGTGTGCATCATTCTTTAATTTCTCAACCTATAAACTCTGTTTTTGCTATAACTTCATTATCATTTTGTCTAAATTGCATCTTTTTCCTCTAATTTTTCAGTATTTCCCAGCAAAGCTCAAATGGTGAACAAGCTTGGAAAATATGGTGTTTCTATAATTTGATAAATAAATATGCTGGAAACAAGTATCTAGATGTAAAATATGTCCAAATTAAGCTCAAGTGTTCTATGCCTTTAGTTTTTCGATAATTTGTTTCCTCCAACTCAGTGTTGTAATAATTACCTTGCTTTTCATTCATGATCGATCGCCCAGCCACTCTTTGTACAAGACAACCACATGTAAAAAACCCTAAAAGGAGATGTTATATCTTCCTTAAATAAATGATAAATGAAAATAAGTGGTCTCACTTTGGAAATGTAAAAAATATATTATTTATGTCTTTAATATTCACATATATTGGTATCAATCACATACCCAATGTGATTATTTTTTATTTTATTTTTACCGTTAATGACACCAAGTCAACACAGATGAGATTTTGTTATGAAACTTAATTTAAATGAGTTAAATTCATAACTAAATAAAAATACATTTAAACTTTTGTGGTTTTTTATTTCCAAATTAGAGTATTTTAAATTATTATTTCCAAAACCAAAGTTGTTTTAATCATATTTAGTAAGATAAACTATTTTGTTAATTCACACCAGCCTTTTTATCGTTAAATTTTAATTTATTAAAAAGGGGAAAATAAAATGAAGCTAAAAAGATCTCTTATCCTAATTGAATTGTCATTTTTTTTTAATCAGAGGCAAATTAAGGACGACACCAATATTTGTTTTTAATTTTTTTTTCTATGTACCGGTGGTTTTCATACTTTAGTATTCGCGAATGACTGAATTCTATCAAATACTCACATGAATTGAAATAATACTCTCCGTATTGTTATAGCCCATTTTGACTCCCCAAAATTCCATAAATTTTTCCAAAAAAAAAAAATGAAAAAAGAAAACAAAGCTAGAAGAAAAAGATCCGAAAAAGAAATAATAAATAATAAATAATAGAAAATGTGGTAATAATAATTGAAAAAACTTTAAAGAATGGAGATTGAAACCAAGAGAGAACCACCGATTCAGGAGTGTAATTGAAAAAAAAATCAAAGGAATGAGGACCAAACTAGAAAAGATACCAAAACTAGAAGATCAATTTAAATTGTTCTTGACACTCTTTAATTTTAACCACTGTTCGTTATCTTCTCCCCTTCTCTCTTGGTTTTACGGTAAAAATTACTCATGTTTTATTATAATTTGATAATTTTAGATCTTTATTATTAATTTATATAATTCGAATTTTAAAATATCATTTTTTGAGTAAATCTTATACAAATCTATTATTTATAACGGTCAATAATTTACCATTAAGTTTTTTACTCTCCTTTTAATTTTTTTGCTATTACTTAAAAAAAATATTAAAAATATTTTTCCTTTATTTTTCAAGATAGATTTTATTTCACTCGTTTTTCTATAAATAAATAAAAAATCATTAAATTTATCACTAAACTTTTTTTTCTCCTTGAAAAAGTTTTTTGAACCTATCTTTCAAAAACAAAAAAATAAAATAAAACTAGAAAAGGTTAAAAAATAGTTTTCTAACTCTATCAATTTTAAATACACATTATATATTTGAATCAATTGTAAGAATATAAAATCCTATAAAACATGTGAAGATTAAAAAAAATTAAATAAATACAAATATATTTAAATTTTCATGATTGACAACCACAATAATAAATTTATTGACATGTGAAAAGAAAAATTTCAGTTAAAATCAATTATTTGATAATTTCAATTGATCAAATTTAATCAATAGATATTTATATTTTATTAATTATAGAAGTTGATTGTTTTAATGAATAATGATACTAAATAAAAGTTATTTTTTGAGATTGAAAAAGAAAATTATATACAAATAAAAATTTGATTGATTATAAAAAAAAAAAAAAAATCAAATATAGTAATATGTGTAAATTTTAAATAGAAAGAATCTCTCTTGAAAAGTAGAGAAAAAATATTTTTAACTTTTTTTAAATTAATAGCAATAATAAAAATAACAACGAGAAAAAATTAATATAAAAAAATAACAGTCAATCGCGTTGACCATTACAAATAATGGATTTGGATAATATTTGTCAAAAAAAATATTTTGGGATACAAATTACACAAATTGATAATAAAAATTTGAAATTGTCAAATTATAATAAACAAAGGCCATTTTTGCTATTAAACCCTTCTTTCTTGTACTTTTTTTGTTTTCTTCTCTCCTTCCACCCTTTATTCGACCTCTTATTCACCCCCCAACTACAACCAAAACCAGCTTCGCCACCTTTTCGGATAGCCCTTTATCCTTCCCTTCCTTCAAGGCTAAAGATCAAGTAATCAAGTTGTCGAAAAGCAATAAGAACAATTCCCTCTCCCATTCTAATCTTCATCAAAACCGAAAAAACCCAAATTCTCACTCCCCTTCTCATATGGCTACAACGTCTAAGAAACGAGCTAAAAAGGCTTTGAGTGGTGAGGATTACATCAAAAGAAATCAAATGCTAGAAAAAACAAGAAAAGCTTGAAAACTTTTGGCTATGGAAAAAAATGCTAAACGAGAAAAGAAAAGGAGAGAGGGCGAGTTAGTGGAGAGGTTTTTGAGAGAAAAATAGAAACACCATTAAGCTTAGTAAGTGAAAAAAACGAAATAGATAGAGAGACGAGAGAGAGAGAGAGAGAAGAATGAAGAAAACGATCAAAAGAAATAAGTAGAGGAGTTTCCACACCAATGTGAGCGGTTATCAATCAAACAGGTATCATCCTTGTCACTACTTGACATCGAACGAGACTCCCTAAAAATTAGATCTAGTTAATTATTTATAAGTTTATTTACGTAGTTTGGGCTCGCCACCTAGTATTAAAGGAACTAGGAACCTAAAAAAAAAGGCATTGATTCAAAGATTCTATGGCAATGAGTTGGTTACACTTTTGAGAAAATATTTAATCACCCAAAAGTGATCTTTCCAAAGAAAGGTACCACGTCTAATTTAGTTCGAATTCATCTCCTAAAATCCAAGTCAAACTATTTTCTAATTTTAAACTCCTATTTTTTCAAAGCCAAATTAAATTTTTTAGTTTAGACGTGGCATCGTATTGAAATGATCGTTGATCCCCTTCGTCGAGCGGTCGGTTAAAACATCGGATCCACTATAAGCCTTGACACAACCGGTGTGTCGATGGACATCCTAATTAAAAAATAATTTATGGTGATGTCAGTCCCCATCAAATAGGAGACTTCGTTGAAAATTTTGAATATTCTTTTTTTGTGACGTCGGTTCCTATTAGATAGGAGCCTTTGTCGAAAAATTTTTTATTTTTTTATTTTTTATCTAATAACACATAAAAAAATTTAAAATATCAACTCTAAACTATTGCAATAAAATGTGACAAGAAATAAAAATAATAAGGCTAAAAAAAGAAAAAGAAAAAGATATACAATTAAAATGTTAAAGGAAATTATTTTAGGTCCCCTACCTTATTTATCTCCAAACTTCATTTTCTCTTTTCTCTTTTTTCTTTTTTATATTTTTTTATTTTCCGGGAGAGACTAGACCGATTCTAGCCTCTCTTCCCTTGCCTTTTTTATTTTTTTATTATTATTATCTTTCCTCCCTAATTTTACCCTTCCTTTTTTATTTGTATTTGATTCCAACCTCCCCTTCCGTTTTGTCTTTTTTTAAAAAAAAATTTATTCGGGTAAAGGGCACGGAATGGACCGAACATCGGTTCAGCCTTTTTTTTCTTTTTTTGTGTGATGGGCCGGCTCGAAACTAGTCCAGCCCTCATTTTTTTCTAGGCTGGAATCCCAAACAACAAAAACAAAGCCAATCCCTCTATTTTTATATCAAAGCCCGGACCTTAAACCCATGACCATCCCCCTTTCATGTTCTTCATTTGTTTCAACTTCTCTCGCCTAGAAATTAATTATGAATGAACTAACGGACTACTCAAACAAAAGGGGAATCAAAAATTATCTTTAATCGAACCGTTTAATTATGCAACCTAACAACTCAAATCATGAATGAAATAGCATAATAATAATAATTAATTAAGGGAATCAAGCACCAAGAAGCTAACCTAGAAAACATAGCTAAAGAACACCAAATGAACCTAAAAAAATTCCAAAACTAACGAACCCAAAAAATGAGAATTTCACATAATTTCTAACTACTAACCCTCGATTTATTTTTATTACACTCAAAAAACAATAATCGTCTTCGAAATAGCCCAAAAAAATCACTTTCAATTGACCCGGAGCGAAGAACACCAAACCTCTCGCCGTAAATTTCCCAAAAACGCAGGAGCTAAAACCTCAAAAATCCCTCCTATTTTATTTTTTTTCCTTTTGTTTTTAACTCTCTCTCTATCGAAATTCCTCTCCCATCTTGTCTACGAATTCGGACCCACTTTATAATCACAAATTTCCTTGATTTTCTCTTAGAATAAAAAATTCAATCCTAAATTATTCCGTCAAAAATTTCTTCTTTAATTCAGTTAGCTAATCAATAAGGAAAGGGGATTGGTGGCTACGTTATCCTCTACCAAAATTAATGCGATCAAAAACCATGATAAAATAAAGAGCTCTCAATCGGTAGTAATGCACCTCGAGAGAGAGAAAGAAGTGAGGGATGCTCTCCTCCTATGGACATCTTTCCTCTAGCTCGATTGGCGCCATCATTGAATATTTCGGCTAGTAACCTCCTCGCTTCCTTTCTAGTCCTCCTTCCCCTCCCATCGGCCTATTTTGTCCATCTCCCATCTCTCAATCTCCCCTAGTTTCTCTCTTCCCGACTTTTCCCCCAACCTTCTCCATTCTCTTTCCCCGTCTCTTCCTTTCTCCGACCTCTCCTTCTCAAGCTCATGGACAAAAAGAAGAAGAAATCGGGATCTAAAGTGAGGACACCACCAGCTCTAGCTAAACCGGTTATATCTCTCGCTCGCTATGATGGATCCCTCTCCAAACTAGATGGTTGCAGCCTTTGTTTCTCGACTTGGCTCTACCATACTCATGGTCGTTGGTTTTGCTTTAGCCGCCAAGTCCGCCTTGTCGACGATCGTGGAGGTTGAAGAAGAGTCTAGCGAGGCCGAATCCGACTTCGACAAAGAAGAATCCTCCTCCGATGAGACAAACGACTTTGAAGATTCGAGCAAAGTTGAAAATTTGGTTTCCCGCCCAACAACTCCAAAATCTAAATTTTTGGATTTCGATCAAAATTTGAATTCCCATTCGAAATTTTCAACCTCAAAAATTCCCGCCCAAATGCCTACCGAGTCTCCCACACCGACCACTCTTGTCTAGCCTCTTCCACCAAAGTCCGGCGAGCTCGTCTTAGACCATATGACCAGCAGAAGGTCGGGGGCAACAGCCTTCTTCTCCAACCGACTTAGTCGGGCCTCCGACCATTGCCGAGCTTAACTCTCCTCCTCCGGATGGACCAGGTACTTCTCAAGCCTATAATGCTAAATGGTGTAATTTATTTACCAATAACCGTAATGCTACACTATGCCCCATTTTTCCGATATAACCGAAAGTAAATCTTACATTTTACTTGTTGATGATTCGAAATGCGAGATGTGGAAATGTTGTCTTATTGGGTATGACGTCGAGAAGTCACCGGGTTTCGAGCCATTAATGAGATTATTGCGAATATATGGCGATGCCAAGCCACTCTTTCTATTCATGACTCGGGACCGGACATGATGACTACATGTACTTGGTAAATATTCTTCCACACCTTTTTTTTCTTCTTTTTTTTGACATATTAAGAAATATTTTTTTATGACAATTCAAAGGTTTTATCAAAATTTCTAAGCATATTTATGAGACCAAAATACAAATAAAAAAAAACTAATTGTTTTGTAGGTTGCAAAGGAAAATAACACAACGTTGCCTTCTGCTGGCTTATTTGTCATCCGCTACCACTCATTTTATGGTAAAAACATCAAAAAATCTATTTATTGTTATGAAATTTATACACTTATAATTAGTTTCATCGATATGGTGATTCATTATTGTTTATTATTTTGTAGCACTACACAAGTGTGGAGCATACAAACACCTAATGAATGAGGAAGATTTGGAGAACTCGAAATGGCTTAAGATATTCAAGTAAAATCGATGTTGACCTTTTCTCCTTTCTTATTATGATTAATTCTTATTCTTTTTCTCATTATTTTTTTCTTGTTTAATTATGTTCTTAGTCATTTTCATCACTAATTAAGTTTATTTTGTGTACAATTGTACAGCAAATATGATCTCTACAGCAAGAGCAAGGTCCCAATTAATATTGAAGAAGTAAAGCCCTATTATCTTTCTCTCATTGAAAAGGTGTGCATCATTCTTTAATTTCTCAACCTATAAACTCTTTTTTTGCTATAACCTCATAATCAATTGTCTTAATTGCATCTTTTTTGCTCTCCTTTTTTCAGTATTTCCCAGCAAAGCTCAAATGGTGAACGAGCTTGGACAATAGCTAGGATAATATGGCGTTTCCTCAACTCAATTGTTTGATAAATAAATATGCTGGAAACAAGTATCTAGATATAAAATATGTCCAAAATAAGCTCAGGTGTTCTATGCCTTCAGTTTATCTATTTTTTTTTCCTCCTACTCAGTCTTTTAATAATTACAATGCTTTTTAATCATGATCGATGGCCTGGCCAGTCACTCTTTGTACAAGACAACCACAAGTAAAAAACCCTAAAAGGAGATGTTATATCTTCTTTAAATAAATGATAAATGAAAATAAGTGGTCTCACTTTGGAAATGTAAAAAATATATTATTTACGTCTTTGATATTCACAAATATTGGTATTAATCACATATCCAATGTGATTATTTTTTATTTTATTTTTACCGTTAATGACTCAAGTCAAAACAGATGAGATTTTGTTATGAAACTTTAAATGAATTAAATTCATAAATAAACAAAAATACATTTAAACTTTTGAAGTTTTTTATTTCCAAATTAGAGTATTTCAAATTCTTATTTCCAAAACCAAAGTTGTTTTAATTATATTTACTTAGATAAACTATTCTGCTAATTCACACCATCTTTTTATTGTTAATTTTAATTTATTAAAAGGAGAAAATAAAATCTTCTTTTGTATATTTTTTATTTGATTTTATATTATTTTTATTTAACATAATAATATCTTGTACTATAATTTTATTTTTAGTTGTTTGCTACTATAATTAATATTAAATAACTAATAACAATTTTTTTTTAAAAAAATTCACATTTCATAAATTAACAACGAATCAACAATCAAATAATGACAAAAAAAATGAATATATTACATGCTTTTTAGCGACAAATTAGCTGCAAAAACATACCGAGGGTTAGTCGACAACGAAAATTTCTGTCGCCAATTTCATAATATTGACGATGGTGGATGTCGATATAGTGATAATTTTTCCATCGCTAATAATTAAGTGACGGATTTTTTTCATTGTCAATTCATTGCTAAATATTAGCGATGGATTTTTTTCGTTGTCAATTCATTGCTAAATAAGATTAATGAC